GAACTTTTCCGTAGCAGTTAAGAATATATATAAGAAAACGAGTATATAGGTTACACGTGGCGACCGATTAAGCTACTTGGATGGAGAGTTGCCGTTCAAACGCTGCGTCATCAAGATGATGATTGGTTATGGAGTATTTTATATGTTTAAGAATTGTAATATTTAAATTATGGCCGCAAAAACTGAACTTGACTCGAACAAATGAAGAAACGAGATCACAACTACGAGTATACAACTTGATAAATTAGCTAAGACATGGATTAAATTGTTAAAACTACTCGATTGTTTACGAAAGATATTTATTTACACGGAAGTGTTAAACCGAAAACACATGCTTTGGTCCAGTTCAGTGACCAACATGGTTTGGAAGTGGTTGAGAATTGGACGCAGAGATCAGGAAGAATAAAACCGGTTCGTTATGCCACCAAACCATGGATGGACAGTTGGACACAAACCGACCTTAAACGAACAATATCAATAATTCTTAAAATCGTCACTTGGCCTAAATGCCAAGAATAAAGGAACAGTAAAGGCGAACAAATCAAACGGGAAGCAACAGAACACAAGATTTTTCCAAAAACAAGTGAGAATAAGTGGGTCAATAACATTTTTGACATCAGTGTACAAAACCACCGAGAAGCAAAAGGTTTATACCATTTCATAACAACTCCTGTATTTAAACCCATCAATGTTTGGGTCTATCCTCAAGCTTCCTCATTGTCTTACTCTTCTGCTGCCTGGAATGGAATCAAAAACATCAACTACTTAATTCTACTTTGGAAGGATTTTGTACACTATAAACGTGACAGGATCAGTAGTCACTTTCACTTTCACTTAATGGAACTCTTATTACAAAATGCATACACAGCGGCAAAAGATTCAAACTGTTTTCACCTCTCAAAAAACCTCGTAACAATGATAGCAGATTATCAATAGAGGGGAAGTGAGAACTTGTTGGGGGTCTTTGACCATTTGGTTGTTTTGGTAGCCTCAAGGCTCTGGGAGAGATTTAGACTCTAAAACAAACCCTAAGGCTGTCCCTGGTTCTCTAGGGCCTTTTGATACTTAACTATTGTTCTTCGTTTCTTGAGAAATAAAGACAGTTTTGATCCTTGGCTCTGATCAGGTTCACCTATTACTAATCATTAATTTCCACTATGTAGTCTAGTCGCGACACTATTACTCAAACAAATCAGGCATTTTTCTTTCCTAGTAAGATCAACAGCAACAATACTCTTACATGCCATGCTCAGATTATGGACTTAGAGCTAAAACCTAAAAATGCAATTGATCTCAAGAATCTGTGACCATTAGAAAATGAAGCCTGGAATTTGTTTCAAATCATATATCTCTTTAAACTACAATGAAACCCTCTAATTTCATCATCGTTTCTAACCTCCACAATGTTTGTCCTGAATGCGAAGAACGAAATGATCCAAGAACTAATCTAATGGGGATTCCCACAATCAATGTATGAAGTAAAGGAGAAGAGAAATCCCGACTAACCTGAGATATAGAAGACTCAGTACTCTTGGGAGCTAATAAAGTGGCTGAAGTTGAAGACGATGATGCATCGAAAAAACGAGAACAATCTGTGTATGCAGAGCCAATACCGATTCCAGCACCAAAAGCAATCGATGCCCATCTTGTAACAGGACTCCCTAGGAAACACACACACACAAAAATCTCGATTAACAATTCAAAACCTAGTGATAATTTCGGATCGGAACAGCAATCAAAACCCTATCCAATCGTGATAATTTCGATTCATCTACGGGACACTAATCAGAAATCAAGCTACGTAACCACCAGAAAAAAAAAAGTAATGCCAACGGTATTGAATGATAAGAAGAGAGTGAAACACCGAACTGAAGAAGAGAAGACCGGCGAACGCGCCGCCGAGTGAAGAGTAGACGACGCGACGGGCAGTGAGATCGAGACATGCGTCCCATTTGGCGTTGACATCGGAATCGCTGATACTCTTCGTTTCCATCGCCGACTCAAATTCTACCTTCCGATTTGATTCTTCGAAATTTTCCTTCTTCTCTTCTTCTTCACAATTCGCTTCTCAGACTTTTTCGATCTGAAGGGTTTGTTTCTGCGCAAGCAAGCGAAGAAGTTTGGGCCGAAGTTTGGGCCCTTTGAAACCTATTGGGCGGTATTGTTTCTACATATTTCAGTTGAATGATACTGAAAATTAGCATTAGACATCTCATTGCTTTAGTTTTCTTATATTTGTGTATGCTGAATTGCTGATACATGTTTTAATTAAAATTAGAGTGATACGAATGATTCGAATGATTCGAATCTCTCTATAGGTAAAGTTGTAAAGAAGTCAATTTTCATTTATTTTTGTCTGGATGTTATTGGATTCAATGACAAATCTAAAAAGTTATTCTGAAGATTTCAAGTCTAAGCGCTTTTTTTTATCTTTTCAAAATTTGCTTTGTAAACAAATTTAATTTCAACGACAACAATTTTGACCGAAAAGAATATCCAAGCTTCTAGATAACATATTCAAGCATCTTTTTCTTTGCCGCCCACGAAAAATCATTTCTAGAAAAAAATTGTGATAGTTGAGTCAAACCACTTGGTCACCGCTGTCACCACCAAGGCTATCACCGACGAAAAAAATGACATCGTAAATTATCATATGCAAAAATGTGTTTTTGAGTTGACTTAAAAGTCAAATTTTGCACCTAGAATTGGATGTAATGTATCTAGAAGTCAATCATTTAAACTCAAACATATCCAAATAACATTGTTATTAATTGAGTAAGTCACCTGTTTTATCAGACTCTCATCCGTATTACCCGAACATTATCATATTATTGTCATCTCACATTATTTTTACCACAATTATTGTTATGTTTTACTGAATTTTTATTTAATTTGTCATCTAAAAAGTCAACTTATGTGGTTACTCACATAAATAAAAGTATTACCTATGAATCAAATGTATTTGAAATATCCTTATAAGTTTGGAACAAAACATCTTAAGTTAAACATGTTGAACTAACATTGTTATTAACCGAATAAGTTACTTATTTTATTTGGTTATTATTCGTATTATCTGTATATGATCTAAGTTTTACACACTTTATCAAACAATGTTATGAAAACCAATTTGCATTCAATCCATGACGATGGAAGTTATCTAAATTGCTAGTTAATGGATTGTTCTTTTTTCAATTTACAATATTTTAAAGGTAGCAAATCTATGTTTGATAGAAGGGAAAAAAATCAAATGTTATTGTGACAAACATTTATATGTCATTTGGTGGTGTTATTAAGACTGGATCTTGGAGCTGAGTTCGCCAAAATGCAATAGGCCATTTTCATCCACCATATCTCACGATATAAGCCAATTCACTTTATTTTAGTAACCTAATTTTTTATTACATATAATGTTACAAATATTTGCGGGTTTATATATATATAATTCGGAAGAACCAATCATTGATCAAAAATATTTCATTATTTGTTAAATATATTGGGATGATTGCATCAAATTCAATAATAACTTATATATTCGATTGATTATCTATTTTCATACATATCTAAATAGTACAAGCCATCAAAGTGATGTTTATGATTTTTACAGTTATATTATCTATTAACTCCTACTACTGTTAATTAAATATTTTGATGTATTTGGTAAAAAATAATCATATTTTTCATTGCATCAAATTTTGAGATGTTATTGTTAATTCACATTTTGCCATTTTTTGCTTATAGTTTGGTCAAAATATGTAATTAACAATTGTATGAATTAAAAATAATGTAATTATAAAAGTGATCATAAACATCATCTCGATGGTTTGTACTAATTTTTTTAAATATGTTTTAAAATAAATAATCAATCGAATGCGTATGCTATTATTGAATTTGATTTCATCATCCCAACATATATAACAAATAATGAAATATTTTGGAATAAGGATTGGTTCTTCAGAGATAAACATATATAAAACTTTGAGTTTTCGTAATATTAATTGCCCTAAAAATTGATATATACTGTGAGTCATGGTGGATGAAAATGGTTATTTGCATTTTGGCACCATTGACATATAAATCTCTGTCACAATAACATTCAGTTCTTTTCCTTAAAATCAAACATGGATTTGCCATCTTTAAAATATTGTAAATAGAAGAAAGAGCAATCCATTAACTATCAATTATATACCTTCCACCACTATGAATTAAATGCAAATTGATTCTCATAATATTGTTCGATAAAGTGGGTGAAACTTAGATATTATATAGATAATAATCGGGTAAAACATGTGTCTTACTCAATTAATAGTAATGTTAACTAGATATGTTTGAGTACATGATTGGTTTTAATTTTAGAAAGAAACTTCATATATACAATAATTTCACTTGTTATACTCATATTTATGTGTATAACCAAATGTGTGGATTCTAAGATGATAACTTGGAAAAAGATGTGAATGAATTGATAACAACTATTGTAATACAAATAATGTAAGATACTATCATTTGAATGTTGTCTAGATACCTACAGTATTAAGCATCATAAGTGTAATTGTAAAATGATGAAACTTAGATAATATTTAGATAATATAGATAATAGCCAAATAAAACAAGTAACTTATTTGATTAATAACAATGTTAGATCAACATGTTTGAGTTTAGATGATTCGTTCCAAATTTAGGCGGAAACTTGAAATACAGTCGATCCACCTGTAATACTCTTGTTTATGTGTGTAACCACATAGGCTAGCTTGTAGATGACAAATTAAATAAATGTATGAGAGAATTTTAACAATGAATGTAATACAAGTAATATGAGATGACTTATAATTTGATAATATTCGGGTTAATTACAAATAATAGCTCGATAAAACAAATGACTTACTCAGTTTAATAACAATGTTAGCTGAATATGTTCGAGTTTAAATGTTTGATTCCAAGATACATCAGATAGAAAACACATATATGCATCATCGGTGCAAATTTGAGTTTTAACTCACACCAAAAACACCTATCTCCATCTGATGATTCATGATAATGGTATCTCCGGTGGCGGCGGCGATGGTTCAACTAGCACGATTTGTATATAAATTTAATCAATCTTATATAAGTTTAAATCGATTCTTGAACTAGAAACCAAATTTTCAATCATAATTATCTAAATTACATATGTCGTGGTTGGTTTGATCTCCCTTTATCGTTATTTCTCGATCTCGTTGGTTAAATCATTCTTCTTTAGGATATTGGTCTCTTGTCTCTAGAATGAGATTTTATGTTGTGTGCTTTACTTATGAATGAGATAGACTTATGGAATCAGATTGACTTTCTACATCTATTTAACAGTTTTTCATCCGATTAAGAGGCTTCTTTAGCTTCTTCCACTCGAAGTTAAAATCAGGTTTGGTCGAGATCTGATTGGTTTGTTGTGTCCATCTCACCGGTTCATTGTTGATTGTGATTCAACTTATCTGGCATCAACTTCTTTACTACAGTTCTTGTCTTTTTGGAAGTTTTTGATTGGCCATTCTAATAATTCACAATTGTTCAAACTTCTGAAGTCTACACATATCAAGATAGGACTTGAAAAACTAAAATCATAGTTGGATATTGACGGTTTCTCGTGATTGTTTATTGATTTTGTTCTTCGAAAGATTCATAAGTACTCTTTCAATAAAATAAATTAACACTTCATTTGCCTTCACTTAGAATGATTTAGGAATAGACTAATCAAAATCATAAGATGAATCGGATTATTCACTTAATTATAACTACTTTGGAATCGATTCTTGAACTAGAAAATGGACAAATATAAGTTCAAATTTAACAAATTGTCAAGTAATGAAGCAAATTAGTTCTGAATGGTAGTCATATATCATCACACAAGCATTTCCATATATAAGAATCATCAACAAGAAAAAAATTCATCCCATCAC